GAATAAATCACCTTGATAATATCATTTTAAAACTAAACTATTGCTAAATCACCATCGTCACGCCTCTGGCGAGTTGCTTTATCACCTAAAAACTATCTATTTTCGTATTTTCATAGTAAAGGATACAATTCACCCCGTAACATTTGGTGGTGACTGTGAGATATGAACTTCTCAACATTAGTTCATAAGCCACCTGACGAATGAAAATTCATCTATTTCATGCTAGAACGATCATGAGTAAAAGATTATCCGGATATACTAAAGAAGTAATTAACGATAAGAATATTTATACTTTCATAAACGGCGAAATGTTAATTTGTTCTACAGATAATTGAGAAAGAATTCGTAAATGAACATGTGACAATCACGGCATTGATCAAATAATTCAACATGCACAACTTAATGCAAAGATATTTAAAGACATTTTTAAATCGATACTCTTTAGCAAATTTGCAAATATAAAGTATCTTGCTAAAGGAGGTTTTAGATTGACGGATTTATTACAAGATTTGAAGAATTAATTGAAGAGAATGCCGCAAATAGATGTTTGTTTTAAAATTCTTGATAATTCTAAAGATATAAAACAAGAATTTTTAGAAGAAGTTAAAAATCAACATAAATATGGGTACGATTCGGCAATTAAGATTTATGGAATAACCAAGAATCCAAAAGATGCCGATGGACTTACGATAATCCACGAAGCCAAATTAAGGCATAAAGATTTTCCATTCCGGAAATATAGTTGATAAAGACAGATTTTGGCTTATGTAAGTCAGTATCACAAGACTCGAGTTCGAAAGTACTTTTGGTGTGCTTTCCTATATTGTACCAGAAGTATTGTATTCAAATGGAAGAAATACACTCAAAAGTCGGATATTTATTCTGTTGGAATAATTATGTCAGAAGTTTTATTGGATACTATCCATATCATGAAACTTTACACAACGAATACCTAGCAATATGCATTTGTCTAAGTAATAGACATAAAATAGATATGAACTTCATAAATTTAGTTCATCAGTCACTGACGATCTCGATTCCGACTCTCTCGACGACGATTTCGATTCTTATCGTTTTTATTACTCCTCTCTTTACGACTCCGATCCAATCGTCTTTACGGTCTTCACGATTACACTCCCGATCTATACGAGCGATTTAAAAAAAAAGAAAAAGATTTTCATACTTGAACAAGCGATAATTATGACATTGATTAATTTATTCAACAAAAACAACTTAAAAAAAAAAAAAATTTAATTATCTTTTTACAAAAAAAAAATATACTGCCAAGGTTAAGGTTCTCTGCCTGTAATTCGCTTTATGCGTGAAAATTGGTTAAGGTGCTCTGCCTGTAAGTCGCTAAGTGCGCGAAAATGGGGGTGCCCAGCCCGTTAGACGCGAATCTAGCCTGGTACCGGCGGGGCTGAAGGCTGTAATAGGTACTGCGCGAAATTTGGAAATTTAGACCTTGATAGTATAAATTTTATGTTGAAAGATTTAAGAAAGATTTAAAAAAAAAAATAATAATAAAAAAAATAAAAAAATGATGAATGATCGAATTTGACATGGGAGAATACCAAACGAATTTCTGTAAATAATCTCGAAAACGAAGTCACGATTTCGCCACGTACGATTCGCTTTAAGAAGTATGGAGAAATTTTCCAAATACATCAAGATTTATGGAAGGAAGAATCGAATATTAAAGTATAAGAGTCAAAGAGATAAGTTGAGATTCAAAAGTAGTTTAAGAAGCTGATTCTAGCATCTCAGCAAAAGTGGATGTACCAGAAGTTCCAGTATTGCCGAAATCTAAAGCAGAAGATATATCTAGTTCTGTTACTGAAGAACTTGCGGATAACAAATCGAAATTAATAGAATCTGGTCCGAATGAGAAGGCTACGCAAGTTGCCGTACAACCAAAAATATCTACCACTGTTACAAAGCTAACGTCACCAATACAATCGGAATCAAAAACCCAAACATCTTCATGGGTATCTGTAACTATCAAAGATAGTAGATGGGATACTTAGCACTTAACGAACCTAAATAATTCCCAGAATTCAACGAAGCTATTGAAAAATCGAATGTTTAAGCGACTGATAAAATAAGTTGAAATGCAATTCTGCAAAGGTGATTTGAATAGAAAATACGATCAAATTAAATTATACAAACCTAAAAGAATCGTTTAATACAAAAATAGACAAGTAGGAATAAATATGACGACGATTACATTAAAGAAATTCAACTTAAAGCCACGACATTATCAACTTCGAAGGTCTAAGATGAAATATACGATCTAATAAAGATGGAAACTCAGGCCTTAAACATCTTTTACTTTATTAAAATTTACTGCGCCATCTTTAATTCCAGCCTCCATTAATAGTTTGGGAGTCTTAGAATATTCTTATAGCAATAAGAATATCTAAAGTTTGATATCAGAATAAGACAATTATGTTGTGATGAAACGGTGAAATATGTCCTAAGTTTGTCGAAGATGATATATGATAGTATGAGTAAGGCAAAAATGAATTAATAAACCTATAACCCATATGAACTTAAGAGAATCGACAAATGGATCAATAAGTAAAGTTAAATGAATCGATAAAAAGAGTAAATAAGTCTTAGAAGAATAGACTTCGAAATTACATCATATGAATAAGTGCCGTTGCACTTAAATCATCAAAGCCAGAGGAAAGATCAGAAAGATTTATCGGCATAAGCAATTAAGATTATTATAATCAACCGAAATAGATCAAGATGATAATAAGAAATAATTTAAAGTTATTTTTTTTGTTTTAGAAAGTATAATCCCGAATTCAAGAGAATATTAGACAATAAGAGAATTAAACTCTCTACTATACGAAACTACGTTATATGGGAAAAAGATCGTATTCGAACAAAATGAATAAGAATTACTTACGAATTGAAAAAGTCTTACGAATATCCAACATTTTGGGATGTTAAGAAGTGATATTTTAATCACTAAAAGAATCGATACGATAAATCTAAAATAAGTATCGAAGTAAAGATAAGTTAATATTTATTTATGTGTTATATTAATTAAGACAAAACGTATATAAACGAAATTATAAATACCTAGATTACTAAGCATATATTTGTTAAGATTTCTTTTTAATCGAAAAACTAGGTTTATTTAAACTATTACGATAATTAGTTTAAGAATATTTAAATTATATTCGATTCAATTTTAAGATATGATTCTGGAAGAACCATATAAAGCGAGGGAGTAGTATATAAAGATTATAATTTGAATTTTTTTTTTCTTTCGTAATATTATTTTTTTTTTACTAATAAGATTTTGAGGATTTAAATTTAAATTAGTTAGGAGTTTGATTTTAGATATGATTTAAAAGAA